TTAAAGACCAGGTGATATCAAATCACAAAATGTTTGTATGCAAAAATTAAAATGACAAAGTAATACATTAAATTGATTGAAATAGCCATAAAGGCAAGCAAATATATAACTTTTTTTTGTTCCCCTGTATGTGTGTGTGTATAGATAGATAGATAGACACGTAGATATAGATATGTATGTTTGTATATTAACATTATGGATTGATGCACAGCTGTACAATAAAATGCAATAAAAAAAAATTGACAAAAAAGTTATAAATGAGTAAAAAGTGCCTGCAAGCAGATAGATAAATATTGATATAGATATGTATGTATGTATATTAACGTTATGGATTGATGCACAGCTGTAAAATGCAATAAAAAAAATTAGACAAAAAAGTTATAAAAGAGTAAAAAGTGCCTGCAAACACTGACATTTTTTTTTTTAATCCACTTTTTCAGACTGTATTTTGTGATGTTTTCCAGTAAAAAGTCTAAACATTCTTAGAATAAGATCAATTTAACTGGGAGTCCAAACTTCTTGAGATATTACTTTTAAGATAATATATTTTGAATATGTGTATTTTGATATGTACATTAGATTTTTAAAGCATTTTTTAATAACAAACAATGTATCTGTAATATATACAATATTTTTAAAAAGTCATTATTTTTCATATAATTTCTTGAATATGTGTATTTTTCTTTCATTGTATTTTCTTCTGATTTTATTAGTATAACACTCCATTGTAGTTGTTTGTTTGTTTTCTAACAGCCTTTTTGTGTCATTATATGAATATATGTTGAATTTGTTTAAAAATGTGTCAATGCATAAACATGCACAATTTTGACACTTTTATTATTCATTTTTGGCCATTTATAATTGAGTTCATTCTAGATTTACACTGTATAATTTCCTTTTTGCATTGTGTTTATGAGAAGCCTAACTGTCTTCTAATAAAGCACTTCAGTTATTGTACTCTCTCTGCAAATGACCCTGTTCCTCTAGTATTTGAATGAGGAGGGAAGACCACCCCAGATAAAGATGACAGAAGGCCTCCTGTCATGA